AGTGCAAGAAACTTATATTTGAATGAAAAAGAAATGCAAAAATATTAGAAATTTATTGCATGCATCTATTATAAAGTTTAAATATAATTAAAACTAAACTATATTTTATTATGCACTCTATTAGATAATGGTTGCAGAAAAGCTATCGTATTATAAATTTGTTTGTTCTTATAAGTACTAATTAATTTATTTTTAATTTGTTTTCATTGCATTCTAGTAGAGTATCAGTCTAATCTAAGGGTACTTTAATCAATATTTTATTTTATTATATATTTTATTATATCAATAACTTGATATATCAGTATCTTTATAGTTTTATAAGAAGTAAATGAAACATTTAAACAGTACACCAATTTGTAAACCCACGTCTAACAAGTTGAAATTGAATTGAAATATCTTTAAATAACTTAAAATTGTAATAAAGTTGAGTTCATAACTGAATATTCAGTACGTTGCCGAAGCGAGATTGATCCATTAAATATGTCTGACGTTTCTAATTTAACAAGAAAGCTCATATTTTAGAACGGATTTGAATGTACAAGTCGAAGTCCGTTCGTTAAATTCGCCAAATAGTGATTTGCCTAGATTTCTTGGAGCAACTCGCCATTTTAGAAATTGGCTGATTATTTTTAGTAGATTGCTAAATCATGAAATGACGACAAAGTACAAGAATAAAAAACTTTAACTTTAGTTATTGAAGAATTTCTATCTTAAATTATTTTTAAACAAGTTGTATATATTTTTGTAATCGCCTCTTAAAAGCCTGTATTTTGAAACGCCACTTGATTGATTCCGATAAAAAAATGAAGACACAAATTGGTGCCTAATATCTGCCATTTAGATCATTTTAAACACAATTTTTTACCACTATTATATATTTTTTAACACTACATAATTAAGGACTTTTGGGTTTTTGATACGAATCTTACGGTACCTTAACTGTCGCAATCCATCTAGCCGTTTAGAAGATACGAGGTAATAAATAAATTTACAAACATACATAGAAACATTCAAGACACGCGTGAAAAACATAACCCCTCCTTGGCAGTCGGGTAAAAAGCCTAGGTAGATCATGATCTGGTGAATTTGGCGATTGGATATCAACATAATATATAACTTCCAGAAGAAATAAGTTATTAAATTATGCCATTATTTGAGCATGCCGTTAATTTATTTTCCATTTTCATAACGCCCCAAGCAATAACACTGTTAAAGATTATTTATATGGTAAACTAAACTGGTTAATATTGGTAGAGTACGTCTAAAGAAGTAGACCTTACTGCCATATTTAAAACATTAAAATAAGTTTATAATCGCAAAAATAATTGTGCACAAAGTACAAATTTTCGATTTTTGGATTTTTCTCTCTCACTCTCTGTCTCTCTCTCTCTCTGTCTCTCTCTCTCTCTCTCTCTCTGTCAATACCCTTATTCTCAGGAATATGTAAAGATATAAAGTTAAAATTAATATCAAATACTCAAGTCGGCAATCCCTTAGAGCTGTGAAAAAAATCGAAGTTCTAAGTCAACGCTATCAAAAGATACGGCGTTTATGCCGCATATTTTGACACTCGTAAGGAAATTAAAACCTGTATACAGTTTCCCGTTGATCTAGAATAAAATTTGGCATAAAGCAAAGTCTTATAGCACAAGTAAAAGAAAAGATCTGAAACTCGCGAATTTATAGTTATATCACAGAAAAAATATTTTTGCGATTATAAACTCATCTTAATGGTTCATGCTACGGAATCCTCAGTGTGCAAGTCAGACTCGCACTTGTCCGATTATTTCGTTTTGAGGTATAGAACCCTAAAAATATTTTTTAATAACGTGATTAACGTTTTGATTTAAAACTATAGTAACTACCCGGATAACCAGTTATCATCATCCAAAATTTCATTAAAATCAGTCCAGTAGTTTTCTCACGATACGTTCCCAGACAGACAGACAAAAATTCTAAAATCTATGAATTCGGCCTCTGTATCGATAATAATGACTATTTCAATAAGATTTTCTAAAAAAATATTTAACATACAGATTCGACTCAGAATTTTATTATGGTATAAAAGATAATAGCGTATAGTATAAAATATATTCAAACCCATAATATATGTATCTCCTGGGGACAAAATACAATTAGTTACATATACCAGTATATGTACATGTGACGTGGGTCTCATGAATAGAGTAAAGATCTTTTCACACAAAAAACTAATGGAACAGTGATTCAAGATTCCAAAGTAAAATGTTCCCGCTTTCGTCGTCAGCTCTCCAACGAGTGATTGATTCGTTTTTAACTAAAAGGTTATTTATCAAAGTGAACATCTCGAATCCTTGTTCAAGAGTGACGGTGATAATATCAGATTAGATTACAAGGAGATTTAAAGTCTGCGTGATTTTAATATTATATTTTTTAACTCGCCATCTTACTACTGTTTTATGCTGACCCTACCCTCTGCACATCACTATGAATACGTATTAAATACATTAAAATAAATATGGCTCGTGTAAGTAGTTTACTTAATCTATACATATAATAAAATTCTAACTGAGTCGAATCCGTACATAAAATATATATTTTTTTAAATCCTTAGAAAAGTCATTATTATCGATACAGAGGCCGAATAAGTCTGGAGTACAAACATTTGTGCTCATCACACAAATCAATGCTACCAGCGAGATTCGAACCCGCGACCGCTGGCACAGCAAGTAGGGTCACTACAAACTGAACCAAACGTGTCGTCATGTACATTTTAAAGAAGATATTACTTTTTTATTTCATGAAAACAATTAAGATTAAGTGATTACAAATGAAATAAAGTTTTATTATCATGAAGCAAACGTGATGAGCATCATGTTTGAAGTCGTCTATATAATTCTTTACGATGTTTCACTAGTTACGTCATTATTTATATAAAAATTGTAATCTTTGCAATATATTATTAAAATTTTATTTATTCATTTTAACTATAGTATTTTCCTACACTAAAGTATAATACATATATGGGAGATGTAAATACATCTCTCTTCGTCAAAATTATGCCTTTATATTTGATTTTTTCTGAAAAATTTGAGTTTAAGGTAATTACCCTTTTTCACCCCCTTGTGGGTTGAATTTTGAAAAATCCTTCCTTAGTGGATGCCTTCGTCATATGGGGAACACGTGTGCGAAATTTATATTTTCAAGACTTAATGGTTTGGCCAGTGCGTTGATACATCAGTCAATCAATTTTGCCTTTTATATATATAGATAAGAAAAACTGTTTCATCTATATGAAATTAAAGAGCAATAGCTTAACTTTTGATACGAATACATACCAGACAGGAGTAAGTAAGTTCAAAAATAAACTAGAAAAACTTAGTTAAATTCACTCAACTTCAACTTAGAACCGACTGAAGTTAATTTTCAATCGAACTCAATTTCGATAGCGAATAGTGGACCTAATATATTTGGGCGAGATACGTGCTTTACCAGCTTCTTTGACTAACTTGCAGGAACTGCACCGTTTTATATCGCAACAAGTAGAACTACGAGATTCGATGCACAAAGTTTATACTGATTACGTATATTATGAACTTGTTCGTACGTAGGTGATACTTTGAAATATATTACTTGTTCCATACTAAACGAAAGGAACTTTCGTTAAAATATCATAATTTTATATTTTATGTAAGCTTATAAAACTAGTTTAATTCAATTGAAGACAAAATATTATTTCATTGTCTATCTATACAGATAAAAAAATTGAAGTGTCTGTTTGTAATGTCAAAATAACAGCGTTTTACTAAATGCATATGAAGTTATATACGGTACCTAAGTAGTACGAACTTATAAGAAAAACACATTTTTTAAATTTTTGTCTGTCTGTCCGTTTATTCTGGATAATCTCTGAAACAGCTGAACCGATTTTGACGGGGCTTTCACTGGAAGATAGCTGATGTTATAGGGAGTAACATAGGCTACTTTTATTTTAGAAAAAGAATTAGGGTTCCGCTGAAAAAAATTAAAAAGTACCTATATGTATTGTTAATATTAAAGGAAAAATTACCTTCTAAAACTGAAAGCTGTTGATTTAAATAGATTTTTAAGCACTTTATCTTATAGGAAAGTCGGAGAACATGGAATGTTCTGTATTCATCGATTTTTACTACTTATGAGGTAAGGTATGCATGTTAGGAGAGGATCCCTAATAAAAGAAAGTGGCGTACTTGATTTGCCGGAATTCGAAAAATCGTGTCGAAGACGGTTCTTACAAAGGTTTTTTTTGACTATACGTATATTAGTGTGACATTCCTTTATTCTATATATTGAAAAAATTCAACCGTCCAGCAACCAGAATAGAAAAAAACTATATCAATTTTAATCAATAGAGCGTAGCATTTTAGGCGTTAAATTAACTGATAAACTTCAAAATGCTGTACTATGCTCCAAAACACAAATTACTCACGTGGCTTAAAAGCCAGAAAACTTAAATGGGACTGGGCTGGGCATGTGTGGTCCAAAATTACCACAAAGTGGAGCCCTGAGTGACAGGGAGACGGCGTCGCGGCATACCACGAACTAGATGTCGAGATGAATTGGACAAATTCGACCCAAAATGGCATGGCATGGCATACTTGCACAAGATTTTACCCAGAAGTGGGATGATGTAGGCTAGCAGTTACAATAACAGTAATTTCAATCAAAATCTTTTACTTTCTAGAGTGAAAGGTACCCTGTAACCTTCTTAGCTGAATCGTCTATCGTACTGTCCTCATACAATTATAATTTTATTAGAGTTTCTTTGTATTTGCAGATGGGTTTTTAATTTGGGTTATATCTAGTAATGAAATAAGTGGATTAGCTGTTAAATGAGAAGTGAATTTGAATTTATAATGAATATGTGGTACATATGCAATATAATGTATACTAGATTTCAACTTTAAAACTTCGTTAAAGCTAACAATGAAGATAAATCATCTTTCTCGAATATAAAACTAAAACTTATTTAAAATTCTTACCAATAACATGCAAGACGAACTTTGAATTTCTAGTTGGAGATACTTTGAAGTCAACTCTACAGCGGTAGAGAGCACGGTCTGTTGGTACAACGTCTCGTATGCGTAGGGCGGAGTGCGGTGAAGCGTGCCATCTCGCTCGACCCGCGAGAGACGCGTCTGCCCAGTGCGCTGTCGGTCCTTTCACACGACCGTCGTAACTGTGAACAATGTTTTATATATTTTTATATATATTATGTGCTAAATACTAGTTTAAGACAAATGAGTAACTAAGACTAAATCTAGTTTTTTTTATAAATAAATAATATAATAGAGTTTTAATAAATTTTATCATGCGGCTATTGTTTTTAAGGTACAATAATAAATGATGATCACTATATTATTAAGATACATAGTATTAATTGCTTTAGCTATATTTTTGATGTTTATTTATATACATTTGAATGGTAGTAGCGTAAATAAACACGTAAATATACGTAACGTAAATATATAAGCAAATTAACTTTAATATTTCCAGTTTTTCAATAAAACGCTACTGGCGATACTTTTACTTCAACAAAATCTAAAACATCTTTTCTGACATCATTAGTTTTCATTCATTTTCTATGGTATGTGATTTTGTGGTGTTTATTTTTATTAGACCCAACAATAACTTATTTAAACTAACAAAAGATCAAAAGGAAATGGCAATTGCAAGGTAACCTATATTTTCTTTGAATGAAACTCAATACATTCTGAGATAAATTCGAATTGAACGAAAGCCTTGTTAGAAATCTCAATGGACAAAGCAACTCAGAAATCTTTGAAAGTATTTTCTTCAGGTTAAAACAAACAATAGTTATTGTTCAATATCCTTTAACGAAATGACATTTTAAATAAATTTTGTCAGATTTCTGCCAAAGAGTGATATATATAAAAGTAGAACTACATAGCATAACTACATGGTATTTTGAAGTTAACCAAATTCAATTAATAGGAAGCTTTCATTATCAAAATTTTATTTCAGTTGGTCCAGTGAATGCTTTTGCTTCACACACAGCACAACTATAAAATTAACATTCAAGACTTATTAACAATAATGCTTAATTAAATACTTATTAACAATAATACCTAATTAAATACTTATTAACAATAATAACTTCTATTTACGCGAATATTTGACATTTTAAATAAAACTATCTTTTTGGATTTTTCGCGGATTTACTTTGATTTTTGGTTCCCGACGTTTGGAATGCTTTACAGCAATCATGGTCACGGGAGAGACTGAGGTTGTAGATGTCTCAAAGGCATTATATACATATGTAGGTGTTACAGATAGCCTACCTACAAATTAACAAAATGAATTCAAATAATTTAAAAAATGGCGCTGAAATACCTTACAAATAACCTGTTAGATAGTTTAAATTGTTAGTTTTACTTTCCTGTACTAATATTATAACAAGGTAATTTTTTTGTGAGTTTGTGAACCTATTTAGATGTGGTAAGAAAAAGTTTGAGACCCTGAAAAGGTCATATAGGATACTTTTTATCTCGGAAATCATCCCTTAAAGGGATGAAAATGGGGATGAAAGTTTGTATGGGAAAGCAATCTAGGGACGAACCCGAGCAAAACGAGGGTGAGTCGCTAGTTAACAAATAAATTCGTATACAGAAAATTGTTACGGTAATACTAACAAAAATTCGTATTAATTATATATAATCCCAAGTCTATTCATTAAAACTAATTGATTCAAGAAACAACATTAAGTTTTGGAGAAACGAGGCTTCAATTAAAAGTAGTTTATTATAAAATTTATTCACGTATTTTCAATATTAAATTTCAAATTATTAAGGAAAAGCACGCAAAATAAACTGGTTTAAAGACTGTTAAGGCTATTCAAACAGTCGTCTTGCATTCGTTCTAAACATAATTATGAAGAACCATTTATATTCCTCAAAAGTTACCTTGGAAATTCACGTGAAGGCATAGAGCTTCGAAATGAAAACGTTTTTACTCATAAATATTTCATAACTAAGCGGGCTGTAGGCGACCTAACTTCTACCACGTTCTTTGTAAGGCATAATGTAATGCCGTCGTATTGAGAAAAACTTGCGATGATAGTGTGGAAACGAATTTGTATTTGAATTAGAATGTCAGTGTCATCTATTATATCGCATATAAAGATGTTCACATTATTAAATAAAATCGAATATTACCGACTTACCCTCGTTTCGAACCGATTCCGAACGGGTGGTTAGGTGCCTTTTGTAGGTAATTATAATATTTTTGATCTATTTCAAATAATTACATATACCATGGTAAAATCATAAAATAGAGTAAGTATGGATTTTTGTAATTATAAGTATTTTATATGGGATGGGAAAACACGAGTGTGTACCTATTTACTTCATTTTACATATCCCAACAGTAAGTCAATATGTAATATTATTATCTACATATATATGTTATAAATATGCAAAGAAAAAATAGTTAAGTACCTTTTCCTCTTGTTTGCCAGCCGATTTTATTTTTACGAGCTTTAGTATTATCAAAAAAAATGATAAGTTAGTTTTTTAATATATAACATAAATAAAGACAACACATTTCATCGTTATTGTTAAAAGGTTATAAATTATCAATAATACCGTCGAATTTCGACCAATGGATGACCACTACTATTAATAAATTAACGATACACGAGTCTACATATGGCTTACACTTTATATTAATCATATAAAGAGAGTTTGTTTGTTTGTTTAATCTCAGAAAATATTAATCCGATTTGAAAAATATTTGTGCGTTAGATAGGCCGTTTATTGAGGAAGGCTATAACCTACATCATCCCGGGAAAATGTACGGTTCCCGTGGGATAGATTTGTTTTTGTCTAAGGACGAGCCCTATGCGAAGCGAGGGTGAGTCGCTAGTGAATAATAAAAATACCTTTTGAACAATCAAGTTTCAATATCATCCTTACATTATATTTATTTAGAAAATGTATATCAACTTAAAAATCGCTTTAAAAATAAAAATGATTATTACACCCTTGGGGGTTGCTTCATTTCAAAATTTATATGAGTGGTTCCATCGTTTGAGTTACAACTTAATGTATACACAATGCATAAAAAAAACATGCCAAGTTAAGTAAAATACCAGAAATCTGTATTTTCTTCCTTTAAAGGTCATATGCTATGAAAAATATGTGATAAATTTCGATATCTCATATTTTAATGTAAATGAGAAAAGTATATTTTTTAAGAATCAATAATAATTTCTTCATAGAGTAAAATTACTTTCATTTCGATAAATAAGGCTTAAGTAAAGCTATAACTAGTTATTTACTAGAGCATCATCAATCAAAATCAATGGAGCAAGAGTTTCCTATAATATATAAATTCGTCATAATCCGTCATTGCTACGTGCCTTGTTAGTATGAGAGTTTCGCAGTAAGTCAAAATTTAATTTAGTATAAAAACGTATGTAATAACTAAATGCTTGAAATATTTCATATCAAAAACACATTGTTTACTGGTATTTGAATGATTAAATTCAAATGGCATGTATGAAAAAATAAGTGCCAGATGAAAGAATATTCGATTAGATTGTTTCGTTTCACTCAATAGTGAGTTGAAAAATAAATCTCATAATAATATTATTATAACAAATACTGAAGAAACATAAAGGAAAAATATTTTTTTACAGAAATAAGTACACCTAAGGCCTATTGAAACGCGTATCCCAAATGGGAAATAACGCACAAATTTTTACGTTCTCTGCTGCCCTGAGTTTTTTTCCTTATTAAGATTAAATTATTTACCAATTATTATTACAATGCGAACTGCTTCCCTACCACTAATCTTAAGAAATCTTTAATTTTACATGATTACAATTAACTTGTTCGAGCTTTAGGTTTCTACAGCCAAAAGGCTAAAACAGATCCTGTATAAATTTTCTTATTTCCTACTCATACGTCACAGCCATTTCATTCTGATATATTAAAGCTATATTACGAAAACTTGATAGGTGTTACACGTTAGATGTAAAGGCAAAAAGAAATGAAGTCCGCATAAGCGTGTTTTGTGGTATATTTGGGTAGGTCTTTAGAGACTACGGAACTTATTTAAAGCATTCACTTATTATAAATACCTACCTACCCTTGGATTTAGCTATCTTATCGCTTCGTTTATAACCTCGCTTCGCTTAGGTTCGTCCCTAGGTACGTTTTAACGGTTAGTATGGAATAGATAGACTATATATTATATGGTATATAGCTTATATTATAATATATTTTTTTAATTTTTAAATAGCCTGCCTCAATAAACGGGCTATCTAATGCAAAAAGAATTTTTCAAATCGGCTTATAATATCCTGAGGTTAGCGCTTTCAAACTAACAAACAAACAAACTCTGCCTCTTTATAATATTAGTATAGATTATGATAGGTTTTTTTTCTTTAAGATATACTTTAAAAATTAAAAAAAATATATTTAAAAGGTTGTCTTTTTATCGATATATTAAGCGAACGAAGACACAAGCAATCGTTAGTGCATAGTAATAATTGTAACTATCTTCGAAAGTATACGTTATTTCATCATCACTTATTTGAATTGGTATCGAGTATTTACAGGTAATCTTATCTGAAGAAACCAGAGTTACCGAAATATTTTAGCCATTTAAATTGAATAATTTTTTTGTGTTTATTCAAAATAAAATTTACATTTTTTTTTATGTTATAGGTACTAGCGGCTCATCCTCGCTTCGAGGGGTTCGCATCTAGGAAAACAAAAATAAATCTATCCCACGGGAACCATACATTTTTCCGGTATAAAAAGTAACCTATATGTTACTCCACACTATAATCTATCTCTGTGGCAAATATTATCCAGATCCATTCAGCCGTTCTAGCGTGTAAGAGTAACAATTATTCATACTCACACACTCACATTTATAATATTTATACAGATTATTATTTATAACTTTTTATATATTTATAAAAGATTTTTTTTAATAATATAACGAGAAAAGAGGTATCATTAATGAATGAAATTAAATATAATATTTTCTTCAAACTAATAATAATTAACAAACAAACTAACGTATATAATCGATCAATAGTTATTCATATTGTATAAGTACTTGAAGTACTGCCTTCCTATATAATTATAGGTACTTGATAGTTACATGTTTGTGAGTTGAGAGAGTAGAGTGAGTTATGTTAGTGAG